AAACTCTTCTTCTCTGGGTCAAAATGGACTTCTCAAACTCAGACATTGCCAAGTCAGATGCATAACAGTATAGATGTCAAATAAATGTTTTATCAGATCTGTGAGACTTTACTGGTTTTTACCAAAATGCAGAATGAGCTGACCATTTAAAAAATGCACACGTGCATGCAAAGTTCATCCAATAGTTTTTCTCTATGGCTCCCACAGTGATGAGCTGTCAAATGCAACTCAAATCCAGCTAGATGGACATCACAGATAGGATCCAAATCGTGAGGAGGAAAATCTCACAATGGTCATTCTTTATATCTGGAATTAGTCATTTTACAGGAATTAGGCTTTACATGTTACGTTGGCTGACAGCTGGTCACTTTCAATTCTGTTTTTTCTCTGTCAACCTGAAGCCCTGATATCTGTGTCTGGAACTCCAAGTTCAGTTCAGTTTTAAGCAAATCACTTTATTACTTTGTTTTCGTACATAATCACTGTGCAATGTTCTACAGGTAATTAAAAATCAGAATACACAGCGAATAATGAGATGCAAATTAGATGTGCAAATAGGGTTTGATCATTTAAAGTAGTCAAGTGATTTAATTGCTGAAAGAAGCAGACGTCGCCTTTAGAATTGCACTTATTTCGCTGCACTCTGCCTCTTACGGTCTTTAGTGTTTAACTCACAGCCCGCGCACACAACGGCAGAGGAGCTGTGCATGTGTGTGCATTTCTGACTCTTTTGACTCTATCAAGTGCTCTCCACAATGCCCTCTCTCATCACAGCCTCAACCCAAAGGAAATTGATTTGCGAGTAATTAAAACCGTGTGTGTCTGGATACGGGCCAACTTCATGTTCTATTCATGCAGATTAATACATATTTGTCGTCGCCTGTGGGGGCTTTAAGGCATCTGTCTGTGCCATTAAACATTTATGAGCTTGCAGGACACAGAGGAAGAGAGAGAGATTCGGCAGTACTTCACCCAGTCCTCCTCCTATCAGCACATATCTTAATGGAGAGCATTAAATCAGAATGGCCAAACGGGGAATGTGACAATGACAATGGCATTCATCACACCTCTGTTTTTAGAGGAAAAACGTCCCCTCGGATCCTCTTTTACTATTAGATAGCATCAGTGTGTGACGTTCCCTGCATGGTGTTCCAGGCTGCTTTTCTTTGTGCTCACTCTTCTTGTCTTGTCTGCTGTGTATCTGCTGGGATGAGAGCATTAATGCCTCATCACATTAATGGGAGAAAAATTACAAAAGCGGATACTTTAAGTGAGGGTAACAGTATGAAAATTACTTTGTGAACATTATAGCATGATAGATGGTTGCAGTATAGCTTATGCGTTTTTTAGATTTGGTGAAAATTCCTCTATGAAGTAGGAGAATTCCAGTGAAAATCACGGGTATAATGTATTGTGCTGCCTTACAAATTAATAGTTTTTTAAAATATCAGTCAAATGAAATTGAAACTAGGGTTATTTACTTAAAAAAAGACATTGTACAGGAAGAAAAATTATTATTGTTGGTTCAGCTTAATGTGATTGTCCAAATGCACCAAACAGAGCATCTCAAAATCAGACTACGGCCTGCCAAAATGTGTTTGGTGTTTACATCTGTCACCATTTATGGTTTTAACTCAATTCAAACAGGCCTTGGCATCTGTACAGGTTCTATGTTTTTGGTCCTACCACAGGTACTATCGGCTGGGATGGGCTCCAGCCCCCCTGCGACCCTGTTGGGAATAGGCAGTATAGAAAATGGACGGATGGAAAAAACTGAAGGCAGTTAACACCCTCGACCACTTGGTGGCGAGTAAGCTGATTAGGCAGCTTTTGTCTCTCTTCCTGCATGACTTTCATGGCTTTGAAGGTTCTTCAAAAAGCTTAATAACAATGATGGTGTTGTTGAATGATGACAAAAGGAGAGGTGCTCTATCTATGGAAAAAGCCCTAAACCTTCTATAGTAATCCCACTGCATTCATTTTGCACAATTCAAATCCGGGGTGAGCTGTTCATATTGGAAGTGCAATCGTTTAATTTTATTGCTCATGTGTAGCTACAGTGCTTCACTGGGTTTTGTCACTGCTGAAGTTCCGTGCATTCATCTGCTGGCTGTGTGACGGCACAGACAAAAGGAAACGGTAGTGAATATGTCATTATGGTCATTTTAAAAATCAAAGTGACGGGTAGAAATCGACTATAATGGGATTCCCGTGATCCTGTCAGTCAAATGACGGATGAGGAAAAAGTCTATTTCAACCTGGGGTGTCAACTCCCAGTCAGAAAAGCACTTCCAGGTGCTTTCTGTCAGATGAATGATCATTCAGGTAAAAACAACATCACTGAATTCAGCTGACAAGAACAATGATCTCCTACAGAGAATTTCCGATGTGGTAAGACACAACTTTTGACTTTATACTTCAGAAGAAGACAAAAAAACTACTCGGTTTGCCTCCCATGCACTACCTTTACACATGACAGTCCAGTTGAGCTGGAGCCAGGGTTGAGCTACAGACACCACAGAATAAGACACCACAACACATAGCATCTGTCTTCACTATGTATTCAAAACTGAACTTTACCTCAGATCTGTCAGCCTTGATGTTCCACTTGAACATTTTTCTGACAACTCAAGTCAAAGGAGTTAGTGAAAGTCAATCATTTGGTTTGTAAAGGACTGCAGAGAAGAATGCAGTTTCAACTTTAGTTTGGACAAAATGTGATTAAAGGTGAAGGAAAACATTTCTGGTCTTAACAGTCTCACATGGAAATCATTTCCCGATTTACTGCTTGACTGATTCTGTTGAATCTACAAAACAGACAAATCAAAGCGAGAATGAATGAAATCTCAAAGTCAGAAGACAAAGCACTTTTCCTATTAACTTTCATTTCGAGTTTTCTTTTACAGGTCGTTTTGCTAAGAAGCTGACTGTGTCAGATGAAGTAATACTCTGTTATTACCACTCTGAGAATCTTAAAAACAGCCCTTTGGTCACCAGCAGTGGAAGCTTAATGTAAGAAATGTTCAGAAACACTAAAGAAGGTAAACCAACTTTTGATTGCCCCATAGGTTTCAAATGGGTTGGCTGTCCTAACTTCATAGGTGAAGGAGTGATTGAAGGAGAGGAGTTTGGTGGTGGTATTTATCAGGGAAACACAGGGAACTTCTTAAATTGGGCAGTAAAAGAAGAAATTGAATTTAAATAAAGTTCCTCTAGATTGTGAGATCATTTCTCCTGTCTTTACGCCAATTAGATCTTTGACAAAACCTGGATGAACCAATTCAGAATCTGCTCTCACATTCTGGAGCTAAATAAAAAATTCAACAGCACAAGAAACCCAGAATGACAACCCAGGAAGAGCGTATGGGGAGAGAGAATAGCCACACATAGCCAACAGCAGTGCTGTCTGGGTCAGAGAGACGAACACGGCAACCTTTCAGAAGTTCCCAACGCGTTGGAGGACATCCAGAAAATCGAGGTATGAAGAGCTGCACTGTGCTGACATAATACACACCAAACTGAAGAGGTGAGCAGCCCTCCAGAGACCTCCAGCAGCCTAATGAAGCAGCTACAACAGACAAACACAACTGCAAAATGGACCATTAGGATGAAGGATCTCCGTTCCAACTGAAGTTCTAAAGAGAGCCAAAGGACACTGCATCTGAAGAGGAGCCACTATCCATCATCATTCCTCTACTGTACATGGTGGAAATCAAATTGTATATCACCATGAGTTACACACTGAGTCACCGATCAACCTCAAACCAATGATTTCTGAACGTCATTCAAATCAGATCACAGAGGAGAAAGATGATAACTACTGAAGGGGTTGGACTATCGAAAGGCAACAAAACAGATGCACAAGTCAGTCGCTTTATCTCAGAAGATGTTCCAAATTCGTGTTCCTTAGAGTTCTTTGGAAATTCAGAAATAGCCCCAGAGATGGAGACAAATCCCCTCCGAGGGGAAAAAAAAGTTGAGTAGAGTTAGCATAAACCAGAACAGTGATATGCTGCAGGCATTCTGCTCAATATGGCTGTGGAGGCGGCGTGGCGCTCAGCTGCAGGAGGGGGGGTGTGGGGAAGGATCAGGGGGGCAGGGCCAGCGGAGGTGATTAAGCACAACTGGAATCCGTTGGCTAATCACTCTCTCCTTGTATAAAAACAGTAGTGTGCTGGACCTGGAGAGAGAGGACTGGAGACGGACAGACAGCTGAACCACAATTAACTGTTTATACCAACAAAGGAGCTCACACTGGGGGTGTTTGTCTGTGTGTGTGTGCGAGGGTGTCCCGAAATAAAGAATCCCATGGCAAACCCTGGACTCGGAGTATCTGTCGAGGCACCCACGGTGGCTGAACTGCCACAATCCTCTCTAGCATATTGTGCATTGCGGTATCACCTTCAATACACAATATTTCACATTGCTGTTTTACCTGGAACTCTTCAAAGAGCCGAGGCTATGGCACTTAAACTATACCTGTATTACATGGTGTGTTTCATTTGTCCCATTGAGCCATTATAGATGGTTCAAGTTAAAGCAAGTTTGTCTTAAACCCTCTTAAAATCCCTCGTTGGAGGATATCATCAGTAAATCTCTCTGCTCCCTCTGTCCTTCTCTCGCCCTCTCTCTCTTGCCCTCTCTTTCCCTCACCCCCAACCGGCCGAGGTTGATGGCCGCCCACCCTGAGCCATGGTTCTGCTCAAGGTTTCTGCCTGTTAAAAGGAAGTTTTTCCTTGCCTGTGTCGCCTAGTGCTTGCTCACGGTGGGAATTGTTGGGTTTCTGTAATTACCTTCAGAGTAGGGTCTGACCTGCTCTGTTTGGAAAACGCTGTGAGACAACTGTTGTGATGTGGCGCTATATAAATAAAGTTGAATTTAATTTAATTGAATTAAAGAGCGTCACAACTAGAAATCTGAGACTGCTTTACTTAACTCCTAAAACGTGTCTCACATTTAGCTTAAAGACAATGTGTCTGTGTACATGTGTGTGTCTGCAGGTGGCTGGAGTGTTTGGGGGCAGTGGGCACAGTGCAGCAGTGAGTGCGGAGGTGGGATCCAGACCAGGACCCGGTCCTGTCAGTCCCCCCCTGAGGAGTCGTTTCTGTGTGAAGGTGTAGTGGAGGAGGGACGGCCGTGCAACTCGCAGTCATGCACTGGTAAGATGCTCATCCCCTCCGAGCCCGCCCCTGACGGTTTTTATTAGTTTTGACGTGAAAAAATACATATTTGAGACGTTTTTTTTTTTTTTTTTCCAATCTAAACCTCATTCATCTGCTTGTGTCTCCATCCTCTGTAATACACTGTGTTGACTCAAGGCGTGCATGTTGGAAAGGGGACTTTGATCGATGAAACGTACCCACATGGTCAGCCTTTCTCGTGGCCATGCACCCACAATTGCGAAATCATTTCACCCACAAAAGGCAGGAACAAAGTCATCTTTGTCTCAAAGCTGTTTACCCACAAGTGTGAGTGCTTTCAAAAAAGAAAAAAAAAACAGACTGTCCTGTTCTTAGCAGGACTAGTGGTGGATGTCAGTTAGCTGCAGGGTGTTGATTTGTACTTTTCCTGTAATTCATGTCATCGGATCTAATTCAAGAACCACAAAAGCAACACCACCTTCACAGCACACATTATCAACACATCTACACCAACAGCACAACAAAAGTCCCAAGTTTGGCTGATGCTGCTCTGGGTGACCAATCACGTCACGGTTGAGCCCCGAACGCAAGCCTGAACGTGCTAACCCCCACCCCTCCTCCCCCTGGCCTTGCCTCACCCTCCTTTAGGCAAAGGTCGCCATCTCTCTCGCAGCCAATCGCTTCGCTCTGTGGACAGCCGCAAGCGCGACGATGCAGACAAGCCCCGCGGCGGACAGAAGAGCCCTCAGACAGGTAAGACAACGGGACGCAGCGGGATCCCATGCATCAGTCACTGTGGCAGCTTGGGTGACCACTACACCTGTACAACAAAGCCATGCGACTCACACAACACTCACACACATCTATCAAAATCTCCCACAGCGGTGCCTCTGTCCACAATGGGCTACTTCCAACATGGAGCCTTTTATTTGAAGCTACAACAGACTATTATTCCCTGTCTGTTCAGTACTTTTACAAACCTAGTCCTTTCACTCCGTTAAAGTGATGCTGCACCCAAAATCAGGAGCCTCTTGGAAAGACATGGTTCACCCCTCCGAAAGAAATGGTTTTTCAAGTTCTCGGTGATTCAGATGAGAAGATTAGTCTCGGTGTCTTTAGAGCTGGATGACATGTGTTGAGCAGCTGGGCGTGACGGGCATTTAAAGTCAGTCCATCTTTTTCTGTATCTGCCTCTTCCTGTTGGGTGGAAGCGTTGCTGGAACGCACCTTGGAGAAGCAGTTACCCTGATAAAAAACCCACACAAACAGACATTATAATCTCAATACAGAAAGCTTTTAAATTGAACCTTCCTGCTGTGAAGCAGAGTGCAAACTGCCACACAACAGTGCTACACAACTTGTTAAGAGCACCGCTAGTTATTTCCAAATCAAGTGCTCTTTGGCAAATCATTTCTTCATTTGCTTTGTGGAAGTTAAGGTCGCCCACAATGTTATTAACCAAGAGGCTTTATAATGGCAACGAGCACAAGAAAAACTTCCACAGACTCAGTAACGTTTCATCTATTTTCTGTTAACCTTATGCTTCTCTTTAAGCATTACATCTAAACATTGGTTATTGCCTATTGATTCCAGCTGGACAGTCCTCATCCAAACATGTCAATCTTCTCATCTTTATCAGCAGGACAATTCTCAAGTACAATATCCTTCAAATTGTCAAACTTTTCCTCATGAGGGCTGCTGAGAAGAGCTCAAATGAATCTTCTTATCTCATGGTGACGTTTGCTCACGACTGTAGCAAATGTAAACTGAGATAGCAGTAGCCATTGGTTTTAACAGAAACATTTACAATAGTCCCACCTCTTTACAGGTTACAGGGCATGAATGTTCAATCCAAGAGCGACTTTGAGTGAGGTATCACTTTAATCTGCTTTTCAGTTCCCCACTTCCTATTTGGTTTTGTACTCCCTCCTCCCCCAGCTGTGACTGCCCAGTTGTCTCTTGGTTCGCTGACCCATCAAATCAACAGTTCCTGCCAATGAAAAGATGCCTGACATATCCCAAGCCAATGGCATTTACTTCCCCCGGAAGTCAATGCAACGGATATGAAACTGTATCTGTCTCAAGATCCTGGAAGACAAGCGGACGGAAAGCTCAGGTCCATTTCAGGGGCTGCCTGCCCAGCAGGGGGCAGTTACATGTTTGACACAGATGGGTGGACTGTATCTGTTTATCCACAGCTGCCATTTGCAGTGAAAAAAGTAGGTCCTCAAATGACCAGCTTGTAGGGGTTTGTAATCTATGTACCACGGGTCCATAGAGCAGCCCCATTTGAAGGAGCCTATTGACCACAAGTCTATCATCCATCTTTTGATGAAGGCGGCCCCTAAAATAGGACCGTTAGAATGTCCAGTACCCCTTATCAGACCCTCCCCCCTTTGGCCACGGAGGCTGCATCCTGCATGATAATTAGTTATGGCCCTTTCCTTTCCTTTTCCTCCTCTTTCTGCCCCTATCTCCATCCTTACCCTTCCCTTTATCCTCAGAAGACTCAGTTTCAGGTGAGGAGTGGTCAGCGTGGAGTGTGTGTTCTGCCACCTGTGGGGAGGGCTGGCAGAGTCGCACTCGTTTCTGTGTATCCTCCTCCTACAGCACCCAGTGTAGCGGGCCACTGCGAGAGCAGAGACCCTGCAACAACTCAGCCGTTTGTCCAGGTAAGTCCCAGCCCCAGTCACCCCATCTTCCCCCCATCCAGAGCTCGCCACGCCCTCTGCCAGACCCTCCTGGCCCATGTAAGACCCACTCTGCCCACTTCGACACACACTCTGTCATCCTTGGGATGAAAAAGTGGGAAAGTTGGGGAGTGCACACTCAGTGTTTTCAGGAAGCTTTTCTGTGTTGTTTTGGTATGTTTGTCTGGCATTGAGGGCCGTAAGTCATTCTTTAGATGCTCTGCTTACAGTGCACGGCACATGGGACGAGTGGTCGCCGTGGAGTTTGTGTTCATCCACCTGTGGGCGAGGTTACAGGTCCCGAACACGGACCTGTACGCCCCCGCAATTTGGGGGCGATCCCTGCGATGGACCAGAGAAACAGACCAAGTTCTGCAACATAGCCGTCTGTCCAGGTGAGAGCACAAAACATCCAGAGAAACACAGTTTGGAAAAGAAAATGTAGAAATAAAAAAAACAAGGGTTGAGTAAGGGCATAAAAACTGACATGCGAGTCAAAGCTGATGTTCTCTGGTGACCCCTAACAGGAAAAAGGCAATATATTCCAATCAGTTATGGTTGAATCTGCAGCGATGAAATACCTAAAGGTTCATTATTTGTGTGCCTTCTTCCTGTGGCTGCCCTCAGTGGATGGAGTCTGGAATGAGTGGTCCAGCTGGAGCTCCTGTTCTGCCTCTTGTTCCAATGGGACCATGCAAAGAACCAGGGAGTGTAATGGTCCCTCGTACGGGGGCTCTGAATGCAGAGGGGAGTGGCTGGAGACGGTGGACTGCTTCCTTGGGGAGTGTCCAGGTACAAGAACTCTGTTCTGATATGTCAGTAGGATGTCTCCAATCTCATATCCATTTTGGACCATAAAAAACATAATGTTATCGAGAGCAGTTTCCTCCATTTTATAACAAAGACGTTGGTTTAATTTGTACGTTCTCTTTTTGTCAAATATTCTTGAGTTCTTGTTTTCAATTTCTGTTCATTGATGAACAGAAAAAAACAGAAAACTGTATACGTGTTGTTCTCATCTTCTTTAACCCTAACCCTAACCCTAACACCTCTATGCTGAATTCTCCACTTCAGTGGACGGGAAGTGGCAGCCGTGGTCCCTATGGTCTGGCTGCTCCAAAACCTGTGGAGGAGGCACCCAGCAGAGAAACAGGGTTTGTTATGGGCCCTTTTTTGGAGGGCAGCCTTGCCCCGGAGAACGCGAGGAAGTGCGTAGCTGCAATGAGAAGAGATGCCCAGGTCAGTGAACGAGCGGGGTCAGACATGTCTGTGAGCAACGCAGTGACTCATGTGGAATTATATCCGTTGCTTCTACCTTTCTGTAAACAGAACCTCATGAAATATGCGGCGAGGACAACTTCTCTAACGTGGTTTGGAAGATGACTCCTGCCGGGGATACGGCAGCAGTTCGCTGTCCTCCCAATGCCATGGGTGAGCTCACACGATTCACGCAAGCGGGTCACGTTTCTCGTTGGGTGACCCAACCCTCGGCTCCTGGTTGACCCTTGTCGTGTGTGTCCCCCCCCCCCCCCCCCGCAGGGCTTATCCTGCGTCGCTGCACCCTGGACGAAGAAGGCATTGCCTACTGGGAAAATCCCACCTACATGAAATGCATTTCCAACGACTATCGTAGTATACAGACCTTGGTAAGCTTTTAAGACCTTTTAGTTAATTAGATGATGCAGGCTAAAGAACTGGTCCTAGAGGGCCGCTGTCCTGTAGCCTTTAGACGTTTTTCCTGCTTCTACAGGCCTTCTAAAGGCAGATTGATGTGAATGGGGTGTGTTGAATTAAGGAAACCTCTGAAACCTGCAGGACAGCTTGAGACTGGTGGTTGACACGGTGCCCTCACAGCAGAAAGGTTCCTGGTTTTGAGCTCAGCTGTTTCTGCCAGTGTGGAGTTCAACCCTGTGTACATCTTTGTGTAGCATATAGAAATGATTAGTGATTCCATAGTGTGCATGATCAGTTTCTGGTTCGTTACCCGGCTTTTCTCCTAAAGTCTTGTAACTGGAAGCAAAGTGTTGATCATTAATAGTGGTCATAAGGGTTGTAAAAGAGATTTTTATTCTTACATTTTTTTCTCAGACTCGGGAGCATTTGTCCAAAGCACAACGAGGCCTTGTGGCAGACGGGGTTTCAGAAGTGATGAGCAAGCTGAGGGTCACATCCAGCGATGGGACCAGCTACAGCGGGGATCTGCTGGCCATCTTAAATGTGCTGAAAAACATGACGGAGATCTTCAGGAGGGAATACTACAGACCCAGCAGTGCAGACATGAGGGTAACATCAACTGTTGTTTTCTTTTTTTGGTTTACTGCTTTAAATATATCTAATGCGGACCTTCCTTTATGGAAAATTCCTGATGCTGTCACAAATGTTAATCTGAAAGCAAACTGCGCTCAGCGTATAGAATGAAAATTGTTGTATGAAAGTGTTTATGGAGCTGTTTGAGAAGTAGACAGGACCAGATCAGATCATTAAAGTTAAAAACTTAATGAGATATACCAGGACATGAAATCATTTTTGTCCTTATTTCCAGAATTTTGTGCATTCGGTCAGTAATCTGTTGATGGAAGAGAACAGAGACAGATGGGAGGAAGCACAACTGGTAAGTATCGCTCTCTTTTCTGAAACTGTCAGTAATTTCTCCTCCAGGTTGTGTGCAACTTTGTGTGTAATAATAGCAACCTGACGCCGATGAGTGACAAAGACACAGGTGGACAAACAGCCCACCTGTGTCTTTTCAGACAGACAGTGGGAAAGGGAAGGACAGATGAGGAGAGGATAGAAATAGCTCTGGCTAATGAGTAACCGAGTCAGAGCGAACGCCCACTCCTCCATCTGCTGCAGCCGTGTATTTGTGCGAGGCTGTGTGCGCCCGCAGCCAGACAGCCATCCAGTGTCCGCCTCCTCTCAGGACTGTACAGAGCAGCGCTAATTAAACCAACCTGCTCTCCTCCAAGCACTTAAAATGCCCCCAAACACTTTGTGCACCAGATGATTATTCATCCTTTGCAGCCTGATTTCAGAGGAACATTTATTACAGGTGTTATTGCCACCGTCATTAATATATCTGCTGCGCACAGTGGCGGTTCGGTTTAGGAGGGAGTTTGTTTTTTCATTACCAGAACCACTTTTCCCTTATTACCACTGCAATTTTTTTCCAAGCAAACAAAGTCTCTCATTTTTCTCAAGGGCAACATTCATTGGTCATTGCAGTCAGTGCACAGTTGGGTACATTATAGGGGCCAAGTAATGGGATATTTTCATCAGAAAGCTTAATTTCCAGTTGTTGGGCCTTGTATCGGGGCCAAAGATCGTTGTGACGGGCACAATAAGCCACTCACTTCTGGGTGCTGTGAGCTCAGTCTGAGGCATTTCTCGGCCTGAATTTGTGGGAAAAAAAAACACGAGAATGTTCTCCCTGAAAGAAATTATAGTGTGCTTTTGGGATAAATAAAGGTTTTTTCACTTCATTTCAAAATATGTCATTCTTTAACAAAAGAGGAATGGTATAATAGAAAACTAAGTTATTCACCATGGAGAAATGAAAATACAATTCTTTGCTCATCTTTAATTAAATGTGGCATATTTCAGGAATATTTCCTATAAAGTTACAGAGTAGCTGAGTAGTGGCAGCAAAACATTTTTCAAATTCAAGTTTTTGTAGAATGAACACGGCTGATTAGAAAAAAAGGCAGAATCCCAATTTGGTGTACAGGAGAAAGTTCCTGCTAGTAGAAAAAAAAAAGTTTTAAAACATTAGCTGAATTACTACTATCTTTTCTCAGGAGTCACTGGGTTACCAGGCTTTCTATTATAGACAAAGGACATAAACACTTCTTAAAACCGCTTTCTGCACATGCATGTCTGCATAATATACATTCTCCATGGAGCCAATTAATTAAGAGTCATTGCATTCTTTGAAGCGTCCATTTTTATTTTCTTGGTACGAAATGTCTTTGCAAGTCTGTTTAGATTGAGTGGAAGATTATTATAGAAGATTATTAGCAAGAAATCAAATCACTGGATTAAAGCTGGCAACAGTAGAATAATTTATGAGCTGGGAAAAGCTGGTTCTGTACTTGCTGTATCTTCCTCTTCTAGATGATATTGGACACAAACACAAAATATTCAGTTATTTTTTCGTTAAATTGATGACAAAAAATAATTTAATCTTTCACTTACACTTTTTTTTCTTATCCTTAAGTCCTTTCCTCACTACTGAGGAAAACAGATGTGATGCTGCAGTTTCCTAGAGGAATGAGAATTGAACCACTTCTTTTGAAATAATTTAGAATTACAGAGAAAACATTGTGGTCTGTTTTGGTTTGGTAAAATTAATAAATAAATAAACTAATAGAATAACACAAGTGACACATTTCTGGATAAAAGTCACTTGAATGGAAATTACAAATGCCAGAATAAAATAAAGGAATCTGTCATTATTCCAGAACAATCCACTAAAGATTACGTATGTCGGTCATAGGTGTGAGGAGGATAAGATGCTGGCACCAGAACCAGCAACTGTTGTCAATATTTGCTAACAGTCCAGCTTATTTGTGAAAAGCCTTTTGTGATTCCCAGGTTTAATCATCAGTTCACCTCAAATCCACCATTCTCTTCTGTCATTCTGCTCTCATGTGTCTTTTTTCTTAGCTGGGGCCCAACATCAAAGAGCTGTTCCGTCTGGTGGAGGACTTTGTGGATGTCATTCGCCTGAGGATGAAAGATTTCCAAGACATTTATGAAGTCACCGATAACCTAGGTCAGCCTTATCTCCATCCAGGCGATTTGCCAGTTTATCAAATAACTTCTCTCTTCTTTAATTTGACTGAGGACTATCTCCATCGCCATAGAAACCCCCATCATAGTCAGATGATCTGACCTTCGCGCAGAAATTTCCTTTGATATCAGAAGGAAATTAACTTTGGTGTTTTATTACTGTCTGCTAAATTAGTGACAGGAAATGCACAACAATACAGTTTTATGCCTTTTCTTTTAAATCTACCCACACCAACTGGCAACATTACCATAAAAGATTTAATTGCAAAAGCACTAAAAATAAATAAATGAGATTAAAAAAAACATGTAGGAATGAAGTATGATTACAGATCTTAGCATCCTGTTAGCAAGAATCAATAATGTGTGGGAGGTGATAACATAGCTGAGCCATGGAATTCTGTAAGTTCCTGAAAACACCGAGTATCTTCATCTTAACACATGGGAGGCATAAACAACTTCAATTGCAATCCCAACTTTAGAATTTTCTCAAAGCATCTTGCATGTCAAATGTGTTCACTTCGCTAGTAGAAAAAACTCCATTTGGATACACAAAATGCAGAAATGTATCAGGCTGTTGAGCTCTTAGAGATGATTGACCATGTCTGAGTAATTTATGGCTTATTCCTAAATACACGGGACACCTTACCTGACAATAACAAAAGTATGGCTGGTTTGTTTGGGATTCAGGAGAAAGCCTCTTTTCTGGAAAAGGAACATTTACGAAACTGCATCCGAACAAAGCTCAAAACTTCTAGAACAAAGAGCAAAATGGAGACGTTTGGTCAGAAGAAGCAGAAGGTGGGAGGGAGGGTCTCAGTTTCTGTCAGAGGTATTAATTTGAAATATGTTTCTTGTTGTGGGAAGAAGTATTTCCCTACTTTAAGAAATCATTCTAAAAAATAAAATAAAGAATGACAGTAGGCTTAGACTCACTACACTCATTTTTAGAATTCATTCCTTTATCTTTCAAACGGTGACAGGTGACCTGTAGGGTGGCCTTTGTTCTTGGTCACAGAGTCTCTTAAATGGTTTGAAAAATGCCGGAGAAAATAACAGTGGTGTCAGTGGATTAAAAGAGTGAAATTGAAGCAGTGCTTGTGTGTGACGGGTTTTACGGTGGCTCGTTAGTTTTTTTTCATTGTTTCCATGGGCTGAAAACCCACGGTGAACATCAGGCTGTCCACATAACAGCATTTCTCTTTAGGGATTCAGAACCTGTGCACGCTCCATTGCCCAGGGGAAGTAAATATCCAGCATTATTTTCAAAGCTGAAAAACAATCCAGCCTACATCGCGGGCTCTGCTGCCCGCCGTGACCTCGGGCTGGAAACGATGCAGATCGGAGCTGAGTAGGGGGGGGGGGGGGGTGTAGGAATTGGGGCCATGTGAGAGGTCCCGTTTACACCGGTGTCCCCTCACTGTCTGGAACCAGGAAATCGCCCACGTAAGCAGCACGCTGCCCCCGGGGGGGGGGCTGACCTCCCCCCATCCCACACCTCCAACATAAGCAGAACGATGTAAAGAGTCTCACAGTATATCATGCAGTCTGACATCTGTTTGGTTTTTTGTTCGTTATTCCTAACAATCCACTGGTTACCTCTGGCTGCCCGTGTCAAATTCAAGTCCCTGATGCTAGCCCACAAGTCCCTGATGCTAGCCTACAAGTCCCTGATGCTAGCCTACAAGTCCCTGATGCTAGCCTACAAGTCCCTGATGCTAGCCTACAAGTCCCTGATGCTAGCCTACAAAGTGCTTAAGGGTCCGGCTCCCATCTACTAGAATCGTCTTGCAAAGGCTTATGTCACAACTCGATCACTCCGGTAATCAATGGATTGTCGTCTAGCACAGTGTTTTTCAACCTTTTTTGAGCCAAGGTACATTTTTTCATTGAAAAAATCTCGAGGCACACCACCAACCAAAAATGTCAAACAAATCTGTAGCCGCCTATAGTAACACTATAGTTATTCTTATTTTATTCTTATCTTATTTTAAATGTCTTGAATAGGAATCAAATAAACACAAAAAATTTAGTTTTATCATGTTTTATATTTCTTCTTTCAAATTGCTCTTAACGTGTCCACTTAAAATTACGTAAAATTATATACAAAATCTAGTCATAAGGAATTATTACATGATTACTCCACCAGTCACTAGAACAGCACACACACTCAGAAATGGAATATTATTTGCAGAAAATTATCAAAAAATCTTTTTAGACCAATTACGTGAAATAGGATGATTTTCTACACCTGACCATCACTAACGGCACACTAGTGTACCGAGGACCAGGGGTTGAAAAACACTGGTCTAGCAGAGCCTTCACCAGCTTAAGACCATCCAGACTGTTTCATGTCGTTCCAAGATGGAGGAACCACCTACCAAGCTCCTATCCTAACCCTAACCCGTACCTCTACCCCCCACAGCTCCTATCCTAACCCTAACCCGCCC